GCTCACTACACAACTGTCATTTATGTTCCTCTGCCATCCTTTTTTCTATTAAACTAAATACTTCTGAAACAAGTGTAATTGCAGATCCATGATCAGTTTCATTCATTCCTGTTCTGCCCAGTCTACATATGCAGCTAATACAGAGTTTAGATACTTTTTTTCAAAACACTATTTGAGAAGGGAATTTCTCTCCTTAGAGCAGTAACATCTTAATCTATGTTGGTTTTGTTTTGTATGTTCTTGATTATGTTACTTTGGAAAGTTAATTTTTTTTTTTTTTTTAACTGCCAGCATTACCAGTGTTGAATTGCTAATAGCCTGCCAATGTTTAATCATCATACTTGGCAAAATAGCATAGAAAGCCAGTGGCATATATCTAACTGATGCTAGGTTCTCTGTTTTGAAGTGATGTTGAAAGTGAAATATTAAGCCTTTTCAGTATAGTTGTATTGGTCTTAGCATAATGGACCTCTGTGGCTTTAGTCTAATAAACAAATGTGATCAGGAATTTATCAGTCACACAACTCTGCCTTTGGCAATTTAAAAGTTCATATTTTCCATATATGATCTAGGTTTTCCTGCCTTATTTTTACATGCGGTTATTAATATCAGAACTTTGTAGTTAGGTTAAGCATTTCCTTAAGGTATTTTTGAGTCTTCGAAATTATTTGCAATTTCTAGATCAGATGTATAGGAAATACAGCTGCTTTTACACATGTTTGGTATAGCATGTGCAGAGGAGTTTTTGTGACTCTGGAGCTGTTCTTGTAAGGAAGTTTATGGGCGGAGGCTGTTGTTGACAAACACTTTTTGCAGTGCTTTCCACTTTCCCCGTCTGTCGGGTTGCAGGCAACCTGGGTGAGGGATTGTGCATGGTGCATAACACGGTGTTTTAGGAAAGATAGCCGTGTAATTTCACATCACCGTGTCAAAGATTGGTTGTCCACCTTGCGATTGGGAGAGAGAGGCTAGGGGACCACTAGACAGGGTGATGGTGGTTGAGTGGCTTTAATCTCCAAAAGAATTGATGTCCTGCTTACGGCTACCTGACCTGTGGCCTGGTTTTTGTTAGCGCCCTCAAAAAGAGGATTTTTTTGAAGCACACCGTGGGCTGGATGACTTCTTATACGATGCGTATAGATTATTATTGAACAACATTATTTAGCAGGAATAACTTCAGATATGGTAGTTTGTTTTCTGTATTGCATGCTCAGATTTTCAGGTTTTTCACTCCTTTTCAGTGTTCCAGGATCCTGGATTGTGTTCTTTGTATACAGCTTTGAGCACCTGGGTAAGACTCAACCAGACAGGACTCAATGCAAAAAAAAAAAAAAAAAAAATTCCAAAATGATGCCAGATGCTTCTCTTCTGCTATCTGGAGTTTGTTGGGCTTTGTTAGTGAAAGAGGCAAGCCCAAAATTGAGGCCATGATTTCCTTTAACTGGCTTATCCTTCAGAGTTCACTTAAAAAGCAGCTTTATTGCTTGTTTTTACAGAGCTGCTTGTTAAGCTAAACACCGCATTGAAGAATCAGCCTGTCTTCTGTGGGCGGGTGGCTATGTACTGATGTAGTGTAGCACTTACTCTCTGTATATGTGGATTTTCTTAGAATGTGTTAAAAAAAAAAAAATCACGGGGTACCATGTTTAAAGTTGCTTGTAAAATGGCCCTGCAAAAGCTGGGGAGGATTTTTTTTAAACTGCTGTAGTGATTTCAGTACTTTCCTCTGAAGTCTTGTGCATAAGGTATTATACAAGACTCCACGGCTGATGTGGAGATCAGTAGTCACTTTTGTTTATCTTTATTATGCTTTTTCTTATGTTAATTCTGGAGCATAATGTTCTGTCCTGGGGAATTCCTCTCAGAATTACCCTTTTTAGATCTGACTGCCAACTGCTGTTGCGCTCAGTAGAGCTAAAGATACAAGGTGTACAGAAATGAATGATGCTTTTCTCACAACTGTTCTCTCATATTTGTTCTCAGTGGAACTCTGTGTGCTTCGCTATTTGGCAGTGTATCTGGCCCCATCTTTCACTGAGAGTAACTTGACTTCTCTCCCGTAGGGAATGACATGATATGGCTGCCAATTTGAAAGAGCAATTCTTTTAGGAATTTCTTTCAAGGAGAAAATTGTATGCTACAGCCCCTTCCTAACTGAAAGTGTATCTGACAGAAGAACACCTGCAAAAATAGCTGTTATCACAGAACAGCTCTTTCTAGAAAAGCACCTATCACAGCAGATGCATTCAGACAGAAGGGGGATATCCCTTACCTATAGTATCTCTGGTGTCTACATGCATGCAGACAGGAGAGCACAAAGCATAATGTGCAGGCAGAAGGCAAAGAAAATTTGAAGGAGCGAAGTGAATGAAACTAATGTTTACTTGTTCTCTGCTTTATATTGTTTGCATGGCATAAAGCAGCCACAGAGTATCCTCAGTAGTGTAGTATTGATGTACAAGAATCACTGTTGGTGATTGAGAGTGCTGTTAAAGATCAAACTATACCCAGTCTCAGGTCTCCCCCAAAATGAAGTGGAAGCTTAAATTCACAAGAAGTCTAAGCATATTTAGAAATGGAACAGCACAATTAAAGCATCCAAACAAATTACTGGAGTCATGGAGTTATGGTGGTGAAGTTAAACAAAAGACAACAATATAAAGTAACTTAAAAATCCAGTTAATTTTAACATGGCAGACCCCTATACTACCTTCTTTACAGTGAGACAAGAGGTGCAGATTGGCACTCAAACTGTGAAATGAGATACAAAAATACATTTTGCTTTTAAACATACATATGGCTTTTAATCTATAATATAAATGTCTAGTCTGAGAATCTAGCTTTAGGAGTTCCTTGTGAAGTATTTGTGAGAGCTGACAAATGTCATAGAATGGTTTGGGTTAGAAGGGACCTTTAAAGATTATCTAGGCCACCCCGCTGCTGTAGGCAGGAACATCTTTCACTAGATCAGGTTGCTGAAAGCTCCATCCAACCTGACTTTGAACCTTCCAGTGATGAGGCATCCACAGCTTCTCTGGGTAACCTGTTCCAGGGTCTCACCACCCTCATCGTAAAAAGTTTCTTTCTTATGCTCAATTTAAACCCTACCCTCTTTCAGTTTAAAACCAGTCCCCTTTTTCCTGTTACTACAGGCTTTGGTAAAAGTATCTCTTTTGTATAACCTGCCTTTATAAATCGAAAGGCTGCAGTAAGGTCTCTTGAGAGCCTCCTCCAGGCTGAACAACCCCAAGTCTCTCAGCCTTTCTTCGAAGAATAGGGAGAAGTGTTTCAGCCCTCTGGCCATTTTCGTGGCCCTTCTCTGGACCCACTATAACAGTTCCATGAATATGTATCCACACAAAGTTATTGTAATTTAAAAATATTTCTTTAAATTGCATATTGGTTAATACTGTTTTTTATTTTTTAGGCATGCTTGAAGAGTGTTGTGCCATTTCAAAACTTCAGTTAATTATGTTGTACTTCCATTACTACCATTAAGGCTGGTAGGCATAGGGAAATGACTGAATTACTCTTTTCTCAAAAGACTGTACAATAACTCTTGTTACTGCATTATCTCTTCCCGCCCCGCCCCTCCCCATCTCTCTAAAGGTTAGAATGTTTGCAGGAAAGTTTTACTTTCTATTAGCTTGCACAGGGGGACTCAGCAATAGTAGTAGTGCTGATGGATTTTTAATTTTTTTATAATTATATAATCTCTTCATCAAATATTTACACATACAGGTATATGCAGGAAGAGACAAAATTGACCATTATATTGAAGTAACAGCTGAGCTACTGGCTAGTCATAGACAGTGTTCTGTGGGGTGGAAATAAATGCCATGTGATATGTGTAGCACAGTGGCCCCACTGTTTGTTTATTTGGCTTTGTACAGAGATGGATGTGCACAGAAATTCTCTGTGTAAGGTGATACTGAGTGGTGGTTTTTTGGTGTGGTAACTAAAGCAATTAAGGATTTATTTTTTTTTTTTAATTTGCAAGCATCAATGTGTTTCTTCTTTGTATGTGTGTGACAGTGCATCAGGAGCTTGGTGATGGCTCTGAACAAACTGACGACAGTAGCCATTGCCTAATTGATCCCTGCATTAGATCAAACTTTATATTACTTTTAAAAAATACCCTCTGAGCTTTTGTTCATTAAAAATAATACTGTAAATGAAAAGTAGTAGGTGATTATAAGATGAGAGATAGTCAAGGTGGATGATGTTTATAAAATTTAACAAGTTCTCATCATCTTTTTCCAATATTTTTTACATGTACTTGATACAGCCTTAGTTTTGTGATTTTTTTCATACAAATCGTCTTCTGTTATATTTCTATTGCACAAACTGGCCTATGTTAATAGAAATAGTGACTACACACAGAACAATATTGTATGAGGGATATAAGGTTAGAACTTAGGCATTGTTGTGCAGCTGCAACACTGAATGAGGCATATTTTATGTGGGATTAATATGTGAAATAACACTGGAAATTAAAAGAGCCCCCAATCCAGAAAAACAAACCTGGACTAAAAATGAAGGTGTGGGCTTGTCCATGCTATTGTTAGTACTTGTTATGTAAACTCTTCATTTTGTCATTTTAAATCTCTTCTTTTGGATAGCTATTTTATTTTGAAGATTTAGAAAACGCCTCCAGAAATTAAAAACTGGAATAGTCTTTCTTTAAGATGTGACTTCACATGGAAATTATTTTGTGCTACTGCTTATTAATATGAGCTGCAGTTCAAAGGAACATTTAATGTTCATTTAATAAATTCTACCATCTTTTTTTTGCCATCTTAAAATGCACTCATGTTTAACAGATTCTCAACATACCACTCGAAATAGCAGTATTTGGACACCAGCTGAAAAAATAGGTGGAATACCTTATGAGGGAGGAACATGCATCATTCTTTTGTTTAACAACTTGCTTCAACAGATTTTATTTTTGGGGGTACATTTGTGTCGGAACTTTTTTTAAATTTTCATATGCTCAACAGATTCTGAAGGAAGTGGTCATGGGAGTGAAGATGCATCAAAGGACAGTGGTGAAGGTTCCTGTACTGAATCAGAAGAAAATATCTTGGAGGAGGAACCCGCAGAAGAGAAAGTAGAAGAGCAACAGCCCAAAAGGTCCACTGAAGAAGAGGTGCCAACAGCAGACAAAGAGGTAATCAAAACTGAAAAGAAAGAGCACGAAGATGAAGAAGAAAAGCCAAAAAAGAAGAAAGAGAAAGAGAAAGCAGCTGAACCTGATGCTGTGCCTGATGAGCAAACAAATGAACCAAAAAAATGGAATTTGCGCAGGAACCGACCTTTGCTGGATTTTGTATCGATGGAAGAACTAAATGATATGGATGACTATGACAGTGAAGATGACAATGACTGGCGGCCTACTGCTGAGAAAAAAAAAGGAAAAAACGCACTGCGAAAAGAGGGGAGTGATGGAGATAATGAGGATGATGAAGATGATGGGAGCGGAAGTGATGAGGATGACAATGATGAGGAAGGTAATGAAGAAGATAATAGCAGCACGGCTAGTGATGGAGGATCCAAGAAGAAGAAGAGTAAAGTTCTTAACAGGAATAATGCAGATGATGAGGAATTGACAAATGATAGCCTGGCTCTTTCACAAAGCAAGAGTAATGAGGTAGTGCAACCAACTTTCTATAATATATCTGTTGACAAATGGAAACTACTCTCCAGTAGCTATTCTGTTAATTTGAAAAGTTAAACTGATGGGCTGGAATTGTGTTTTCAGGAATAAGCAAAGAACAATTTAGCAAAATTGTGCTAAATAGGCACTGCATATTAAATAACCTTGCTTGGACCATTTGGCCAATCTAATGCCACTAAAGTCAATAGAGAGAATTCTTTTGGCTTTAGGAGGGGTTGGATTAGTTCTAAAGCAAATAGGAGGTCCAGTATGCAAATCAACATGTATTAGCGAGACTTTTAGTTCTGTTTTAGTGTAAATGTTGCATATCTGTAACGTTCTAAAAGTTAAAAGCATCTGTGACATATTCATAAGATAGCTAAATCATAGGTTATTCTTGATCCTAGCCCTTCTTTGTGACAAACATCAAAGTCTGAACATTAAGTTCACTGATAGAAGAATTCTAAGTCAAGAAATATACACACTGGCTTTAAAATCAAGTAGGATAATCACAATAATTTATGTTGTGTTTGCTTATAATGCTTAAAAATGAAGTAATTTCTTACAGTACTAAAAAGCATCTGGGAACTATTATGTTAAATATCTTCTGATTGCAAAATGTGAAAATTGTATGTTAAGTGTTTAATAATGCAACTTTTTTTTTCCTATGCACAATTACAGTTGCCATAAAGGTTGTGCCTGTGGGAAAAACTAAGATACTAGGTTGTCAGGATGGTTGACTTCATGTCCTGCAGCAGCAAAATTTTGAAGGAACTGAAAAGCGTTGCTGTAAAATCCACATTCAATTTTCAGGAAATAGTTGCAATTTCAACATAACATTTGATAAATGGTAGTGGTATGACACTAAAGTTCTGCTGTTCCATTTAATATTTATTTTAATGCGTAAAATGGCAGGGAACTAAACAGTATTTGGAAGGATCGTTTGTCTCCATTTCTGATACTTTGTTATGTATTACATATATATGATTGCGAAAGAGCTGTGCTGTTTTAATTACTAGTAATAATTGTGACTGGGGGAAAAAAAAAAAGCATAATTCTGGAGGGTTTTTTTAGTTTTTGTATAGGCATCTTCTTTCATTGTCTAGCTCTGTCATTCCCCATATTCTCTTGGGCTCTGGAGCTGAAAGTGCTCTACCAATGCTTATGATCAGAATTTCAAATAGAGATAGGCAATTTTCTTTCAGAGTTGTTTCCCATACCAGAATGGAGATGTGAGTCTACATTCTTAGGGATGTATTCTTGAATATGTCCATATTTCCATTGATTGAAAAACTGAACCTGTTTCAGAACCTGTCTCTGATGAATCTTTTGCAAAGCTTCTTAATATGCATGGAGCTCGGAGTCTGTTCTTGCCTTGGATTTAGGACATTTATCAAAAGATAAAATCAAAATTTGAAAATTTGAAGTTCAAATTGTAATTTTGTAACTGATACTTTACTGCATGTGAAGCAAAGTACTGTTTATGAATAGGTCTTTAAGAAGTAGTCTTGCAACAGTGAGTATCTTTAGACTGGATTATAGACTGTAATTTTTCGATTGATACTTGACTGTATTGAAACAGTATACTCTCCACTACTAAAATATTTTAAAATAGTAAAAAAAAAAAATCCCATCTAGCAGACAAGTCTAGCAAAACCTTTTTACAGAACCTAAGTTCTTAGAAAAACAGATGTCTGAATGCATAATTAATTTGTGAAGAATGTTCAGGTAACTAACTCCGAACATGTAGTAGTGTCCTTAATATGCATTCTTCCCTTCCTTTACCTACTTGTTGGGGATGGGTGCTGGGGGGTGTGTTGGGGGTGGGTTGTTTGGTTTTTGTTTCTGTGTGATTTTTGTTTTATTTTTCTACGTTTTGCAAAAATGTTTTGAGGTCTGCATATACAGTATTTTAACCTGTGCTATAATGAAATACTATGTACTTTTCTACTGTATTAAGCACAGAAGACAAACTTAGCTTTGTCAAGCTAAGGGTCAAGCATCATTAGTAGATAAATGGTGCTTTTCTGTTTTTAGAATTACTAGCACTTTATGGGATTCTTCTATTCTTAGTGAGGTGGTTATTTTATTTTTTAATTTTTTTAAATTCCTTTAAAGTTAGAAGTGTATGGGCATATAGCTTGAAATGTTAGCTTTCTTCATTGACGCCACAGAAATGGGAATTACATGGTGATTCAGCTGAAATGCTTTCTCTCACTTGGGTAGGGAGCAGGACTTATTCAGGAGGTGGCAGCAGTTACCTTCTCTACATGAAAGTTACCATGCTTTAGACAAGTAGGGTCAGCTTCGGGCATGGGGTTTTTCAGGTGCTTACATGGACTAAGCAGAGGAGAGCAGCGTATGTTCCAGATTATTCCCTCTCCGTGTCTGCATAGGAAATTAAGTTATTCTGCTGCTCTGTTTGACCTGTTGGCTGTCTTCACATAAGGTAAACCATAATGGATGAGGATCCTAACATGAGATGCCCTTCCGTCATTGCTTGTTTCTTTTTTTGCCCATGTTTGCATATTAGGCAATTCTCAATGCCTAAACAGCTGGTGTTATTTCAGTGTTGTTTTTATATTGCAAGTCTGTTTATTTAATTTCAAGTAATAGTGGGTGTTTTTTATTTTTTTTTAGTTACTGGACCTTGGGCTTCTCTAACAGTAGATTTCTTTTAAATTTTTATTGTTGAAGCCAAATAACAGTTTAAGTCAAAGGTAGTGCCAGAAAAAGCTGATTTCGGTAGAGCTGTGAGATGTGCCTGAGAAGCCTGTGCCCATTGCAGTCACTGCACAATTAATCTGCTACAGTTAGGGAGTATCTACTGCCCTTTTCCTATCTGTAATGTGGATGGTAAGCTAAATGTGGGTATTTTGAGCAATGATGGGCCACAGTATTTTTGAGAAAAAATGTGCAAGTTTCTTGCTTTCCTCAAAATGCTTTGCAACTTGGTCCTAAAAAGAGGATGCTGGAAGAAATGCTCTCTTGGTCTGAACTCTGTATGGGAGAGTCTTGTATTTTTCACAATTAGTGGCCTTCCGGTAAGTAAACATGATGATGTGAATGGTTGTATAATGTTTCATTTTTACCTGTAGATGAGGGGTTTTTTTAATAGGTCATGTTTCCGTACGTTGTTTAGAGAAAATGGATGGGAAATCCAGAAGCCTTTCCTAACTGCTAGAAATATGTGTTTGACCTTTCCTAGGTCAGCAACATTATAACAAGCCACCTCTATGAGTTGAGGTAAACTATTTTGAGCCCAGCTTTGGGTGGTAAGGTTATTTTATCCCTTTACACTGCTTTAAAATCAAGCAAGGATTCCCTTCCTTTACCCTCCAAACACCTGTCCAGAAAAACCTGAAGTACAAAGAGACTTCATTAATGATTCACTGAAAATTTTGTGCAGAGACTTACTGTATCAGGTTGAGAGGCTATCATCAAATAATTGCATGGATTAGTGTGAGAATTTAAGATCCTTGAGGAAGAATACCTACTTCAGCTAGCATTTGTGATGCTTTTTATCAGCTTAGGCTACACAGGCACAGTATTGATGCTGTGTTTTATGTCGTAAATGGGGAGTTGGAATGACTAAAAATGTTTGAGAGGTCATCTTCCACCTTTAATTTTTTTTTTCCTGGTAAGATACCACAGCAGTTTTGGAATATTTTCAGATCTCTGATATTTTAAATGATGCCATTTAAGCTTGAACTGTCAGCCTCTGCTCCAAAACTATTACTATTTCTTTATCCTGCAATGATTATTTTTTACTAATGTGCCTAATTTCACACTTCCCTATATGCCTTCATATCACTAATGAAGGTAATTCAAGCTCAATGTTTGCTTTTAGTGTAAAAATAAAAGAAAATGTATGGAAGCTGTGAAACTTTTCAGAAGAGACAGTGGCTGTACCTCACAATGAAAATAAGAAACCTAAATAGTGTTTATGAAAAAACTTAAAATTTGCATTTTTTTTTTACATGTACACTTACATTTACAGCTTTATTTGATTTGTGAAACACCCCTCTGTTTCCTTAGAGAAATTCCCTATTAAAAGCCACATTCTTTTTAAGTGGTGTAATTCACATTGAAGGTTGCCAAAACAGAGTAATGTACTTGTTCTTCAAGTCCTTACTCCTGTATATAATCAGAAGAAAATAAGTTGTTATAGCTTTAATAAACCATATGGTTTTGCATAGAGATGTATAAATTTGCATTACAACAAAATAGAACTAAGTTGATAATTTGTTAGGTTTTACGTACGTGAAGAGTTGGCAGGCATGTGTTAGCTGTTTATTTTCAGTATTTTCAGATCCATGTTACTTTTTTTTTTTTTTTTTGGAAGGTGCAAATTTTAACAAAATGAAGCAATTTTTCTGAATATTGGGATGTTTGAAGGTCACCTTTGGCCTTGGTGTGGTTTTCTTTCCCCTTTGAAATGGTTTCTTAGGTGTGTGTATTTGTTCATTTTTGTAGAGCATAAATGATTTAAAGACATAAGGAAATGAGGAAATAAGACACTTCTCTGGCCTTTGGATCTTAACAGATCTCTGGATTTATTTGGAACAGATTGTATCCATCCTTTCTCCCAGCTCTTATATTTGTGAATGAAGTGTTTAAATGTTTTCACAACAAAGAAGCTTTTATTTTCGTGAAAATAATTTTCCATCTTTTTTTGTTGTTTGTTCAAAATTGTTTGTTTTAATTAAAACTGAAAATCCAGGCATAATCCATGTGTCTTCATTTTTCAATATTAGGACTCATTGATCCTTGAGAAGTCTCAAAATTGGAGTTCCCAGAAAATGGACCATATTTTGATTTGTTGCGTTTGTCTTGGAGATAACAGTGAAGATGCTGATGAAATAATCCAGTGTGACAACTGTGGAATAACAGTACATGAAGGTAATACAACCCTTCATTCTCATTGTGGGAGGAAAGCGTATGCTTTGCTTTTAGTAAAATTTTGACTTGCTTTCTTCAAAAAAAATGAAGCCTTTGAACTCTGGCATGTAATATTTTGTGATACTCCATGGATTCTTTGTAGTGGTGAAACATCCATCTTATACTTCAGCAAAGCAAATAGAAGCAACTACAGGACAGGACATGGTCTACAGATACCTGTATAATGAATCACAGTGTGGAAATACTGGAGCTATAGGTTATATTTTCAGGGCTTTAGGATATTCTGTTAAATTTATTTTTGTCTTACATAGTTCAGTGTATGAATTTGATTGCATAGCTGTGATATAAGATCATGAGAATAGGAGGTCTAAAAGGAAAGAGTTTTTTACAAATATTTTTGCTGTACCAAAAAGGCAGAGAGATGGGGAGGAGGAGAGAAAGTAATTGTCCATGGCATTTAGTTATAAGTGAAAACAACTAGCCTTGAACTTCCTCATAGTTTTCACTGTCAATTTGCAATGGAGAAATTTTAAAGTTAAAACATACTCAAATCGTTGTTTTGCTAATTGCTTTGGAATCTAGTCTATGTATGTGTTTATAAATGTAGGCGGTCTGGTCTTAAAGAAACACTTCTGGAATAATTCTTAGGTGACTGTATGGAATTTTAACAGCCGTACATGGAAGGTGAGGTTTTATTGTGTGTTGTTCTTTCTCTTGTGGTGGAAGGTAGGTACTAAAGCAGAGAGGCATACCGATTTTGCTGAAAAACAAAACCTGTTTTTTTTTCTTTATTAATAAGGTTTCTTTTTTTTTTTTCCTTAGCATTTCTGATATCCCATACCTTTTTAGGGCTTCACTTTTTTTAAGGTTTCCCAGGAAAATGAGATAGGCTACTTCAATCCTTGAAATTAAAAGAAGGTAGGCTTTCATTCTTAAAAAGCATAAAAGGCATTTATTTAATTTATGTAATTCCCATAAGTTTAAAATTTTTTGGAGCTGTTTAGCATGCATTTTCAGGTAGGAATTGCGTTTCTTAATCCCCTACTCCCCTTTTGTTTTCCCATACTGGATTAAAAATTGTTTCAAACCACCGTTTTTCATGCTGTAGTTCAATTCTTTGCTTGACATCAATTAGGAAACTGAAGACGAAATTTTTGTCCCCAGATTCGGGTGCCTTATGTTAAGTGTCAGCATGTACTCTAACTCCTGAAGTCCTGTTGTGGTCCTTTGAAGAGCTAATCAGTACCATCAATGGAGCTTAGAGAGCCATTTAGTTGACCTAATACATGATGAGCTGAATCACACTGTAGGTGCTTTTGAAGGCATTAGTCAGGTCTTCGTTGGCTCTAACAAGTGTTAGACCCCTAAATTTAGGTGTCTAGGTATGCTTGCAGAATTCCTTCCTCCATCTGTCAAGTTTTTGGAAAGCAATGTGCAGAATATATTCAATTTGAGATGCAGTAAGCTACTAAAAGTTAGTTTTATAGAATCTTGATAGATTCCACACACACACCCCTCAGCACAGTCTAATATTAACTCACGAGAAAAGATAAATTGAATGAAAGTATTTTTGATGACAGTTATGAATGCTTATTTGAGAATTCCACAAACATATACAGTCCATACATCTAAAACCTAAAGCTGTGGAGCTCTCTGAGAATTCTTCTGTAAGATTTATTTAATGATTGTACGTTAGTCATGTTAAAGTGCAGTGATTGTGATAGAAAAATGATCTTCTGCCTTTATAGAATTAAATGATAGCAAATTTGGTTTTTATTCCAGAGGAGTGCCTTAAAAATCCCCAAAAGATCACTTCCTCATTTTGTTTAGTCTACTAAACCATTGTGCCTACAAAAGGTAAGATTATAGCTGGCTTTCCTTCACAGGAAAATAGTTCCATAGTTAAAAGTCACTTGAATTTTAATAGTTCAATCTGTCTTAAAGTAATTGCTTCCATTCTTCTTTTTAAAGTGTTAGAGGTAAAGATTCCCTATAGTCCCACTGATAGAAAGAGTACAGTGTGTACATGTTTCTTTTGTTGTTATTGCAACAGAGTAAAATAGATTAATTCAGAAGAATTAAATTGCTAGTTTATTCTAGTTCTACAGTCTGTACAATTGACTAAGGATGTTGGTTAATTTTTTGCACTTATGGTTGAAAGTTTAGCTGTTTACAGTTTATTTTAACAACGAAGACTTAAATCCATATACAAAGCAGTTGTAAAGTTCTGTTTGAATAGGTGAAGTATAAGAAAAAAAAAAATCAAGCTGAGTAGGTGAAAGTAATTGCTGACTGTGGTAAAAGTGTAAATTTCCCTGGCAACAAGCTGAACTTAATTCTATGGTAAATGCAATTTGGAAGTTTAATTGACATTTTATGTGTATGTTTCATTGTTAGATATGTATATCAATTTGTAAATACAGTAATAAAGTTTTGAGTAGAAATGAACATTTATTTCAGTGTGTTTTTTCTGTACTTTGATATTTAATAATGATGAATAAGAGCAGGTACTATTTTAAATGGGAGCTTTTTTCAGTAATTTGTTTAATTTTTTACAGAAAATAAAAATTTTGTTAAAAGATTTGGAACCTTTGAAGCTTCAGTTTGATTCAGTGATCTTAAATATACGTATGTTCAGTAACTTGGAGACACTGTGCTCCTGCCCTGTGGTCATTGGCTCATTGCATTACTTCTGAATGCATGAGTAGTAAATGAAGACACAGACACTACCGTAAAGGAGTTGCAGTCAAAACCAGAATGCAATACAACAATTATGTTTTTTCTGTTGGCTTAATCATTCATTTCAGGTGATTTCCAAATATAAGTTGAGAAGTAGTTGAAGAAATAATTACTGCCTAATCATATAAACATGGCTTGCAACCTTGAGAACTATTTTTTTAACTATTTTTTTTAATGTTAACAGTCAAGGTTTAGTCTTAGTATCATTGGCTTTAATCCGTACCTCATAACTGTGTGCCCATATCATGGACATACGCTGTATTATAAAAAGTCCATTGTACTCTCATACGCTGTGCTTTATAGTTTGAAAAATGTGTTCCAGTAATGTGAGTCTGTTTTGTAAACACATTGGAATCCAAGAATTTGTTCTTATTTTTGCAGGTTTCTTAGTAGGTAGATTGCTGTGGCTACAGACAGCCATGCTGTGCCCTGAAATTTGTTCTAATATTTGAGCTTTTGAGTTTTTCAGAAAATGCAGTTTCTAGCACAGTATTGAATGAAGAGGCTCCTATTTATGAATTAGATAGATAGAAATTGATGCAGTGATGTTTACGTGTGTTTGCCTGCAGTTGGAAAGAATAATATCCTCATTTCATGTGAACTGATTTTGATACTTAGCAGTTGTCTTTTCTCTAGAATCTCAGTTTAATACCCACTCTTATTCTTTGCATTCATCTTTTATGTCTAAACAGCCTGTAATTAATAAATCCATCAATGAAAAATTTGTTCTCATTTCACATATCAACCTCAGCCCCCCTTTTTTCCAAAAAAAAAGTTTACATTGCTAGGGAAAAAAAATCTTTCTTACTGAATTTGTAGTAGTACAGTTGCTTTTTTGGAGTGTTTACTTCTGTGTGGAGATAATTCTCATTTTATAAAAGTCTTCCTTAGACACTAATCTGTCATTTTGGATAAACACTTTTGTGGTAAGATCATGTAATAGCAGGGCACCCCCAACTGTGGTGTCAGTTTTTTTGACATGTTGATTGCACCGTGTCTGAAGAAAATGTCTGGTGCATACCATAGATGTGCCATAACTGTAGGTAGTACACTTGCCAGCTCTTGCCCTTGGCTTAGTTGCTGTGAATTAAATGAGAGTAGTTTGACATTTTTCCAGCTGTTTGTTTTCCATCCCCTCTCTTCCTTTCTAACTTTACTGTGATGTGTATGGCAGAGAATAAAATTTCTTTTGCTAAAGGCAATAATGTAGTTGCCATATGCTTTACAGTGTAGTAAAACATTTTTGCATTTTAATTTTGCTGCTTACCCTGGTCTGCTGCTGTCTGGTATAAAAATTCATTTTGTGAAATCATGTACTTTAGTACTCTCCCTTTACTAAATAAAAATACTGTTCTGAATTTATGATGCATGAATTGATTAATGTCTTTATTCTAAACTGTTGGTCCAGTTAAGAATTGAATGTAAGATATTTTGAATACTGTGATCTCACAGCATTTAATTTTGCAAACCTACAGTTTACCTAAAAGTTTGTGTTTTCATGATCTTTATAATAAGATGATGTTTCAGAGCATATGTAGATGTAGTTAGTGTATGAAGATGTTCTGTTTGACTGGCGAAAAATCACCCTCCCAGAGAAATGGAGGAACAGATGCAGCCAAGGCAAGAATTAGGTGTCTCTTCCCATTCTACTTCTTCAGTGGTATAAATTTCAGAACAATTGTTTTAATGGTAGCATTTTAAATTGTTTGCAATTTCATTTTAATGACAATCACATTAAAAAAAAAACTATTGAGAGAGTACAATGAGTTTAAAATTAGGCAATAAAAAAGTTTATTTCCCGTATAAAACTACATACCTTCAATAGACAACTTAGCTATAATATATAGATGCCATTTGTTGAACAGTAAATATTGTGAGTTTTAACTTCTTCACTTTCATGTGTTTAAATTCATAGGTTAATATTATACTAAACAAGTTTTATCATTTGGTGTAAGAGGTATTCAAGGAGGTGGCAGACGTGGAGTTGTGATACAGTAATATAAGAATATACAAACATGAGTATTTAATGAACTTTAGTTGAAAAGGGGCTCTCATGTTTTCTAAAGATCCAAAATTAAGAATCTTTGTGAACCCTAAGGAAAGGCAGCATGTATTTTAAGCTAAGTGTTTAAAAGTTGTTTTATTTTCTTCAGCATGTTTTCCAGTCAGAGGGGCAGGTGGTTGACTTAATACCGAGTAGGTCACAGGTGTAGTGACAATAACTGGAACCAAACATGTCATTTACAAGATGTGTATCCTGT